AAATTAGCACCAGGATTCTTTGTATTAGCCACTGCTAGTATCAACCAATATCCATCCTCTGACCGCTCAATCTTGATCTGAAATTCACACCCCAACTTTCCAGAAGAAGTAAGAGGCCTCCTTTCCTTAGCCGGATCAGAATCAGGAGCCTTCGATATTTTCTTCCTACCATGAGTGCACTTCAAGTATCGTCGCCTACTATCTTCATTTGGATTTTTTTTTATTTGATGCCTTCACCAAATAAAACCCAAAACCCTTGGCAATCTCAGTAGCTGCTGCATATGCAATCAAATCCGTATCGTATTTTACTCCATTGACGAATTTTGAGGTGTAATCTTTGCCATCCCCTCCGTAATCATCAATATCCTACAATGTTAGATCGCATGATATAAGTAGGACTCCACAATAATAGAAAATCTAACGACTACATTTAATTTAACAATTATCACAAATAATTTAGCATTCTGAATATTCTCCTAAGCAAAATCCAACATTTAACATGACAAAATTTAGCATTCTCTATTATTTACATAAGAATCATATTAATCACATTCTAGAATTTTTTTATTGCGTATTATACATCTAATCTTAATTTTGTATACAAAAACATTCAATTTCACAAATAATTAGGCTCATAAATTTTAAAAATAATATAAACTAAAATTCAACAAACAATCATATAGACCAAACTATAAATCATAACAAAAAAATAAAAATATTTGATATAAACTTAAAAAAACCCAAAAGCCACCAACAGAAGCTAATTTTCGGTTCCACCATGGCTAAACTGAAGCCAATTTTCGGTTTCACCATGGCCTAACCGAAACAAATTTTCGGTTCCCCCACGGCCTGACCGAATCCAAATTTCGGTTCCCCCATGGACCGAATGAAGCAGATTTTCGGTTCATCCATGGATCAACCGAATGTGATTTTCGGTTGGTCCATGGTTCAACCGAAACCAAATTTCGGTTGGACCATGGACCAACCGAAAATCACATTCGGTTGAGAATTTTTTGGGAAAAAAAACGAGATTTTTACCTCGTCGGAGTCGCTACTCATTGTTCGGACGTATGCTCGACGATTTCGGCTTCCAAATGTCGATGATGAATTGGAGAGTGTGGGAGAATGAGTGTTTTTTGCTTTCTAAGTGAAAGTGGTGTTTGTTTGCTAAAGGAAAGGTAAATATGTTAAAAGGTTAAAAGTGTAACTTTGTTGTTTTTTAGGACGATCATTAGTAATTGTTAGGACGACCTTTATCAACTCCCAAAAAGAATGGGCTTGTGACCAATTATTAATTTGCCTAGGGAGAATCTCCCCTTCCCCTTTCGGTCTTCCAGGCCCCAGCTCCCGGCCCAAGAAAATGGCCGATTCAATTAATTGAAGAAAAACCTCATCCGGTCCACTTGAGTTATTCCATCAAGCAATGCCAATTTCTCATTTCATTTACCTGAAACATATAAAATATTTGGCACTCGATGGTAATGGTTATATAACCATTCCAGGCTTAGTTGGACCCCAAAAACAAGCATTATATTTCTCAAACATATCATGTAATAATTAATCACATTTAGCACACAAAATCAATATGTTTTCGACAAATATCACATATCGAATTGACTACGACGAGATGTTCGCTTCTGTGGCGAAAATGCAGATATCCATATGTGTTCTAGCAGTTGCAGCTATGAGAGACTTGCATCTTGTGCAGTTAGATGTCAAGAATGTCTTTCTCCATGGCGACCTCAAAGAGACTATTTACATGGCTTGTCCTCCTGAATACTCCAAGGGCGGCCCGAATATGGTTTTTCGTCTCAAGCGCTCACTTTATGGCCTTAAACAAGCTCCACGAGCTTTGTTTGAGAAGTTTCACGGTACAATTATCTAGGTTGATTTTACGCAAAGTAAGAATGATCCATCTCTATTCCTGCGAACTACGATACACAGTAACTCTTTCTTATTACTATATGTTGATGACATGATTATATATGGGAGTGATCACGAGGGGATCAAGTATTTGACTGCGACATTGCATAGTGCATTGAAGCTCAAGGAGTTGGATGATGTTTCGTACTTCCTCGGGCTAGAGATCGAGAGGATGCCGCATGGGATTTTCGTGGGCCAACATAAGTATGTTCGAAACATATTAGCTGAGCACCAGTATGATAATTGCAAAGAATGTGCGACTCTGATAGAACAAAATCTTAGGCTCAGTCGGTCTAGTGGCGACTTATTAGATAATCAAACCAACTACCGCACAATAGTTGGTAGTCTTTGGTACTTGAGTTCCACCCATCCGGATATAGTATACGCAGTACAAGTAGTGAGTCAGTACATAGGGATTGCCCGCTACATGCATATGAATGCGGTTCACTGGATTCTTCGATATCTACAGACTACAGGGCATGCATGACGTAGGTCTTTTCTTTCCGCATCAAAGTGCACCAGTACCTAGTGGATACACGACGATCTACCTCTTGCTGGTGTGTCCGGTTTGGGAGCTCTTTTGTATCTTGGCGCTTTAAGAAATATGACCGAGTGTAGAAGTCATTGACAGAAGCAGAATACAGGTTGATGTCTAAGGTGAGCTCAGAATTGGTATGGTTACAACGACTGCTAGCTGATCTCGGCGTAACGTGTGAGATGCCTATGAAGCTCTACGGGGACAATACAAGCTCAATCTGGATAGCCACTAATCAGGTATTGCATGATCGGACCAAGCATATCGAGACTCATGTTCACTACATTAGAGAGCTGGTGTTCGATGGAGTCATTCAGCTACGTTATTTGTCAACAGATGATCAGACTGCAGACTTGTCGACAAAGGCAGTGGGCTCAAGGCTTCACTTGTATTTATCTAACAAACTGATGCTGCGAAAGCACCATCAGTTTGAGGGAGGGTGTTGATTGGTGACTTAGCCTTATCTAGGTACCTTTTTGTAACATTATATTATTACATGAGTTACCTAGATAGATGAACTAGGGTTGCAATATAACCTAGTCATAACGTATATATATTGTACCTCTGTTGTACAGAATACCTAAGCCGAATAAGATTGACTCTAAAGAGTTCTACCTCTCCCGTGTACTAGTCCTGAATCTCAGGGAAACCACATAAATCGGTTGTTCTTGTCTCCTTAATTTCTAGTTCATATCAGGTGCCTCTCTCTAGCGCCTCTCTAATGATTCTTCTTTGACTTCTACAAAAGAGAAAGAAGACGTAAATCTGAGGGATTTGGGGTCGGGACTCGGGAGGGTAAGGCAGGGGGAAGGAAAAATTAAATTAGGGATTTAAGTCTCGATATTCGGTATATACGACTAGCCATCGGTGATTTGTCGGGAATCATTCGATATACCAACTGTGTTTTCACATCAATTTACCATTATCATTGATTATATTGTTAATCGGAAAACTGATTGCCACCCCTATTTACTCTCTTCCCATTGTAATTTGGAATACTACGAAGCAGTGTTATCAAATTCGAGTCGAATCGGCCGGTCAGACCCGTAAAACTGTCATCCGACCACTAAACCGGCTCAATACAGCTATTTAGCCGGAACGGGTCTTAAGGGCGGTCGACGAGCGACCGAGGCAGTTAACCGCTTGGGCCACTTGGGCCGCTCTAGCTGAACACCCGACTTTCCCATTTCGGCTGGGTGGGTTTATGTAAAAAAAAATTTGGTAATGAAAGGAAAGGGGAAAAGGCGCCCCCATAGCCGGCGCTCCTGACTACCGATGCCTTCCAGTCCTCCATTGCGGCAGAAGAAACTTGAAAGGAAGAACTGAAGAAGAAAGAAGAAGAGGAAGAAAGAAGGGATGCATAAGAAGAAAGAAGAAGAGAGAAGAAAAAAGAAGGGGAAGGGTGACTATTTAGTAGGCTTTTGTGAATGAGTATATATATAAATGTAAGGGTCAGACTCGTGTGCTCCTGGAGCATACTATACTCCATGTACTTATAGTGAGATATCTCTATCTAAATCATGAATTAAACCGAGTTTGGGGTATGATACTATACCCTAACCTCAAATGGATAAACCCCAGGCCCCGATTTTCTAATCTCAAAGCCCAAAGTTCAATTTAAGATAAAAGAAGAGTTGACCGTTGAGATTGGTCGGAGCTAATCCATGTAAATCTAACGGTCAGATCATCTGGAGCATACTATGCTCCTATAGCATACCAGTCGTCTCCATAAATGTAATATTACTAAATGGTATCTACAAAGTAAATTTTATTGTAGTCACCAAAATGTTAAATTATTATCTTATGTATTTTTTATTTATGATATTATTATTTAGGGTAAATACAATACATTAGCCACAGCTATTATGAAACGGGGAATTATAGTCATAACTATGGAAATTCAAATTATTAGCCAAACGTTAACTATCTGTTAACAATTTCGTTAGTAATCCTGACTAAACTTTTATATTTTAAAGTTATAAATTAAAAGTAGTCCGACGTGGCTGGTGCCGTGGCTGATGACGTGCCCTTCTCCGTTAAAAATTCAATAACAGTAACGGACAGTTAGCCATATCTTGACCCGCAACAATAGTTATGGCTAATAATTTGAATTTTCATAGTTGTGGCTATAATTCCCCGCTTCATAATAGTTGTGGCTAATATATTGTATTTACCCTATTGTTTATAAGGCAACGGTTCTCTAACGGTTTAATACCGATTAAATTACTAAAGTACAAATCGTTTACATTATCGGGTCATGCTCGAGTTCGGTAATGAGAACGTTGCTAGAAAGCCATTGCTCCAACGGTAAGAATATCCTCGTGGTCGTGGTCCATGTGGTGACAATTCCCACCGAAAATTTCAGCTACCCTTTCTCTGTACTTCCCCCATCAACGATTTGTCCAGACTCGAAAGTTCCTTTCATTATCATTCCTACTCAAGGAAGAGTACCCACCTACTCAACGATACGTCCTGGACTGTTCTTTCTTCTTTGTCCAGTTGTCCTTGTTGCCAATACAGAACAAAACGTTTTGCAGTCTCTACATAATTGGCTTTCTTGATTCATCGTGCCATCCTACTTCTCTGTAAGAACAATATACAGTGGCAGTGTAAAACTGTAGATTAAACTGGAAGCGTACGATCCAAAGAGCTGTCTGTCGATAGCATAAATTCCAGATTCAATTGATGAGATTTACCAATTCCTGAAGAATAAACAGTCTCCTCTTTCTTCTTCGTCTTCTTCCCTGCTCTCTCTCCCAATCTCCCTCCTGAATCTCGCATCAAACCTCTCCATCTTGAATCCAACATGTCGAACCAATTGGACCACGGCGGCGCCTATCCCAGCCCCGACCAGCCGGAACCCACGACCCGACCGGTCGGCGGAACCGAGTACAGCTGGTGCAGAGCCGTCCCCGCCGGCACTGGCATCACCGTCCTAGTCCTTCTCCTCTCCAAACCCCCAGAAATTCGAATTCTCCAAAATGCCCTCCACAAGCTCCAGAGCTCCCACCCGATCCTCCGCTCCAAGCTCCACTTCGACGCCGTCGCCAACACCTTCTCTTTCGTCGCCTCCCCGTCGCCTTACCTCCAAATCCAGCAGTTCGATCTCGCCTCCACCGCCGACATTGTCACCAGCGCCGCCGCAGACGGAATCGAGAAGTTCTCCATCCCCAAGCACCAGCTGGTCATCGAGCACGAGATGAACAAGAACCCCTGGGCCACCGACCCAAACGCCGACGCCGAGCTCTTCTTCGTGAGCTCTTACGCCCTGAGCGACACGCGGTGGGTGTTGGCGCTCCGGCTGCACACCGGTGCGTGCGATCGGTCGTCCGCGGTGGCTCTGCTAGCGGAGCTGCTGGAGTTGGTCGGCGGAGGGAAAGAAATCGAGGTTGGATCGGGATCGGGATTGGGATTGGGTATCGAGGAGTGCATCCCTAGCGGGAAAGCGAACAAGCCGTTCTGGGCGCGTGGGAAGGACATGCTTGGTTACTCCCTGAATGCTCTGCGGACTGCCAATTTGGAATTCGTCGACGCCGCCGGCTCCCCCCGCTGCTCCCGCTTGGTCCGGCTGATGCTGAGCTCCGACCACACCGCCAAGCTCGTCTCCGTAAGTCTGCTCCGCACATTGTTATTGATTTTCATTTAGACGGTCCACATTGCTGTTATTGAATTGGGGTTTCACTCTAATATTGCATATTGCTTCAAAAGAAGCGTAACCATAGGAGTTCATAAACGAATTAGCTGGTTGAGCTAAGCTTAGCGGTAGCCAATGTGTCTGCCATGCTTAAGAGTTAAGATACCTCTTCTTCCGCAGTAGTCCAGTGGTCAACCGGTGGTGGGTCAAATGTTTAATACGAAACCTCTTCCAACAATTCGAATGATGAACCTATTATCATGATAAGAGGACCTCGCCTTCCTCGTACATTACAAGGAGAGAAGTAGCCGTTTTGTTATCCTAATAAGTTGGTGACTACTCGATAGAATGTTGCCAACTTCAGGTATACGTTGACCATTCTGTATCTTTAATGTATTCAGTAGGAACTTAATCATGTTCAAGTTCAACCAAGCAGTTAGGTTGCCATGGTGGGTGGGTCTCTGGGTTGGTCAGGGAAAGTGACTCTCCAGCTGATTATTCATTTGAGTTTCATGCAATTTCCATCCTCTGTTTATGAAAATTGTAGGCTTGCAACGCAAGGAATATAAAACTGTGCGCAGCATTAGCAGCTGCTGCAATGATCGCCGCACGTTCTACCAAAGACCTTCCTGATCAACTCCAGCGAGAGAAATATTCCATCGCGACCCTCCTCGACTGTCGCTCGATTCTCGACCCCGTCCTGAGCATCCACCACCTCGGTCAGTTCACTCAAAAACACACTTGCCCTGCACTCTTATCTATGTTGTTGAAGATGTGAATGTGGAATGGAGTGAGTGTTTCTTGCAGGATTCTACCACTCGGCCATTACCAATTCACACGACGTGAACATGGAAGACAAGCTGTGGGAGCTGGCCGAGAGGTGCTACAAATCCTACGCCGACGCCAAGAAGAACAACAAGCACTTCAGCGACATGTCGGACCTCAACTTCCTGATGGTCAAGGCCGTTGAGAACCCGGGCCTGACCCCATCTTCAGCCCAGCGAACTGCGCTGGTCTCGGTGTTCGAGAATGCGCTGATCGACGACACCAACGATCTGCATTCCCTGCTCGGCATCGAGGACTTCGTAGGGTGCGCTTCGATCCACAGCGTGGGTCCTTCGCTCGCCATTTTCGACACCATAAGGAACGGAGAGTTGGATTGTGCGTGCGTATATCCGTCGCCGCTGCACTCCAGGGAGCAGATGCACAAGTTCGTGGATGATATAAAGCGAATCCTCGTCGACTCCTTGTGAAGAAGTTGTCGGCAGAAATTTTAATTTAGCCTTCCTTAATCAAGTAAACAAGGCAGTTCATAGACATGGTCTGGGTTGAAATGTTATTTTGTCGTACTACAACTGTACAATGTGACAAATAAGAAGAAAAAGAGAGCTCTTTGTTTGTCAGTTTGGATTTGGATTGAGCTTTGACTTGTGAGTAGGCAGATGCAGACAATCAGAAGATCACTGGTTTAGGGTCCTTTTACCTACAGCTGTGGCGATCTTAACTAGAGATGAGCGAGATTGTGAGGATGAAGGTGAAGGTGAAGAAGCAGCAGAATAGAAGTCAAGCTTCGCTGCGCCAAATCGACTGGACCGCTTGCTTTCTATCGCCTTGATTGCAGGCAAGAAAAAGACACGTTGAATTTGTGAAGGGTTAGGGAACTGATTGATTGATATTGCTCTCTCATCTGATACAAATGATTGATATTTGATACGGTAAAAAAAAAAAAAACACCAGAGAGCTATGGACTATGGATCCATATTAGTTGACAACCGATTATGGTGCTCACTGAAAGTGCCGAAAAGCCATGATCTATGTATTCATATTAATTGACAATCCGATTATACTACTCACATCTTGTGAGTTGTGAGACTATTCTTACAGTCTTACTGCTGTGTATTATTTACTACAGATAATAATAAGAAAATTACTCGGGAACTAAGGAAAATTCCAATTTGTACTATATTAGTACTAAGGATTAGATTCATACTGCAACCAATCATTCTCAAACAGTTTGCACAATTAAACAATTAGTTGCTTATGGTGTTAGTTGTCAACAACAACCATGAACAGGTTTATGATGGGGTTAACTTTACATTTTTGTTTCATTTTGATTGGAATTGAAGGCACATAGTTATTTACATAAATCTTCACTCGAACAATGTGAATCCCTTTGTATATTTAACGAATGCTTTGTGAAAATCGTGTTTGTGAATTGAAATTTAATCCTATTTGAAAATTATTGATTACAATATAAATCTCTCTCTTTTAAAAAAAAATGAGGGAAGTCTCATCTCTCTCTTCATTTTACGTCCTGTATTAACCTTTTTATCATCCTCGCGTTGTCAACCAAGTAGAAAAGAACAGGTTGCAGATGCAGGAAGATGAAGTCCTGAAGTGCTCTGGATTCAATCGAAGGAGAAGAATGAGAAACGTTTCGTGTCTGAGAGTTTCGTTTATGTTGCTGCATTTTATTTAAACGCTGTCGTTCCGCTTTCGGTTAATAGCCGTTGTTAAACAGTGATTTGAGTTTGTAATTGCCAATGGCACTTTGCCATGTGGCTAACACTGGAGTGTTTCTGTTTAACAGAACACTGGACTATATATATCAAATGCAGAGGCAACCCTTCACTTTGAGGGTTTGCCAATTCTCCAAACCTAGAAATTGTTATGGTATCAGAGCGGTCAAGCAACTAGAGAAACCATGAACACGCCGCCGCCGGGTTCTCAGGGTGATCCAAACTCTTCCTCTGGAGATGGGTCTCAAGGATCTCAAGCCACTCGAGGAACTCAAGCGGGAAATGGGACTGGTCCTCGCGCTTTCCAATTTGGATCGTTTGATGAGCAGCAGCAACAACAGATCTTTGCTGGAGCTGGAGTCAGAAACGATGTCATAACCTTCGGTAATCCTTTCTACCTGAACCCTAATGAAGCACTGAATCAGTCCATAGGTTCAGAGGTGTTTGATGGTAGTAACTATACCATGTGGAGTCGTTCTGTGATTATGGGTTTGAAGATGAAACACAAATTGGGTTTCATAGATGGTTCGATTCCCATGCCAGCTAGAACAGATGCAAATTATTTGCTGTGGGATGGTTGTAACACAGCTGTGTTGTCATGGATCTTGAATTCTCTGAACAAAGATCTGAGAAGATCTGTAATGAGTCATGTGAATGCGAGAGTCTTGTGGGAAGAACTGAAGAGGAGATATGCCAAACCAAATGCTATCAGGATCATAAACCTGGAGGATGACATACAAAGATGCAAGCAGGGTACTCAGACCATAAATCAGTACTACACAGAAATCAAAGGATTGTGGGAAGAGTACTCGCAGTTTAGCCCTATTGTGCCTTGTAACTGTGCTCCAGGAAACCCAAATCCTTGTGATGCAGTGGTAGCCTATACAGAAAGGCAGGAAGCGGATTATCTGATTCGGTTTCTGAGGGGTTTGAATCCAGACTTTGAGATAATCAAGACTCAACTGCTCTCACAGAAGCCTTTACCAACAGTCTCAGAAGCAGTTGATGATCTGTTGCAGTATGAACAGAAGTTGAAAGCTGAGAAGGGGAACACTGGCAAGAAGGCACAGACTGTGGCTCTAGCAGCAGGAACAGCTCCTCAGGAATCAGGGTATAGAGGTCAAGGAAGGAAGTATTGTGTTTACTGCAAGAGACCAGGACATGCTGTTGATGAGTGTTGGAGAGCTAAGAGAAAGAAGGAAGCTGATAGCAGTAGCAGTTCTGGAGGGTCTTAAACCAACACTCCAAGGTTTGCAGGATCAGTCTCTCAAACAAGTTCAGGGGACTCACCTACTGAGGTAAGCTATAACAGTGATAATCCAGATGGAAGTCCTGTTAGTCAAGCAAGGACAGTGGCAGGTTTCACTCCTGAAGAGATGAATAGACTAAGGCTAATGATGCAAGCTGGTGCTAGCTACAGCCCTTCACCTCCTCAATCACCAACCATATCACCTCATGCATATTCTGTTTCACAATACTTACCTCCCTTCCCTAACCATTCAGGTAAATTTGTCCTCTCTTCTCACATAGAGCATAGCAACCTAGATCCCATTACCTTCTGGATCCTTGACACAGGAGCTTCAGACCATATTTCATGCTCTTTATCACTTTTCATTGAGCATAGAGAAGTCAACAGCATGTTTGTTTATCTACCTAATACCACAAAAGTTCTAGTGACACATATAGGAATTGTCAAACTACCATCAAGTCTTCTTCTACACAATGTCTTATTTGTTCCAAGCTTCTCCTTTAACCTTGTGTCAGTTAGTAAGCTTACTCATGATCACCCTCTAGCCTTACATTTCCAATCTGATTTCTGTCAAATCCAGGACCTGCTAAGCATGAAGATGATTGGTTTAGCAAAAGAGAGTAGAGGCCTATACCAGCTCACCTTTTCCAAACCAGAGAAAGACCAGTCACCCTCATCACATCCTCAAGCAGCCAGTACCTTCAATTTCCATCCACAACAAGTAGACTTATGGCACTGGCGATTAGGACATCCTAGTAGAGATAGGATTTCTTTGTTACAACAAACACACCATTCTGTAACCAGTCCTAAGCTCAAACATTGTGATGTCTGTCACTTTTCCAAACATAAGAAACTACCATTTCCTGTTAGCACCAGTATTGCACATGATTTGTTCCAATTAATACATGTTGATATTTGGGGGCCTTTGTCTGTTGTCTCTTATGATGGATATGCTTATTTTCTAACTGTTGTGGATGATTGCTCAAGAGCTGTATGGGTGTTTTTGATGAGACATAAGAGTGAGGCTAGATCACTGCTTCAAGGTTTCTGTGCCTTGACACAAAATCAGTTTGGCAAGAATGTGAAAGTGATCAGAAGTGACCAAGGGCAGGAGTTTAACATGTGTGAATTTTACATGGAAAATGGCATAGAACACCAGATGTCTTGTGTAGAAACCCCTGAACAGAATGCACGTGTAGAAAGGAAACACCAGCACATTCTCAATGTTGCTAGGTCTCTTAGATTTCAGTCAGGACTTCCTTTGATTTATTGGAGTGACTGCATCCTGCATGCCACTTACCTCATTAACAGGCTGCCCACTCCAGTCCTTGACAACAAATCTCCTTATGAGATTTTGTACAGTGCATCACCTACTCTTGGTCACCTTCGTGTGTTTGGTTGTTTGTGCTATGCTAGCACCTTAGTCAGTGGAAGAACTAAGTTTGCTCCTCGTGGAAGGCAGTGTGTGTTTCTTGGTTTGCCAGCAGGTATAAAAGGATATAAGTTGCTGGATTTGCAAACCAGAGAAGTATTTGTCTCTCGAAATGTTGTCTTTCATGAATCCATCATTCCTTTTAGGATTTCATCTGAGACTTCAGACTCTAGCTCTGCTGCAACAGACCTGCCTTCTCCTTCTAATCCTACTGTCACTCCTGCTCCACCTGTCTTAGTTCCCACTACCAACCCACCAGTTTCCCTTGATTCAGCCTGTGATTCAAGGGGGGACCAATCTAGTAGTTCTGATTCCACTCCTTTCTTTTCTGAGCCTTCTTCTCCTGGTATAGAACTTGCACCTGAGTTAGAACCACAAGCTGAATATGAGGAACCTGCTGGTAGACCTACAAGGCATCTTATCCTTCCAGCCAAGTATCAAGATTGTGTTCTAGATCCCCAACTACAGTTTGGAGCCTTTGGAAGCACTGTTACTAGGCACCCTGTCATGTTCAACTTAGATCATCTCAATGCAGTTGACAAAGCATATGCATTGAGTGTCCTGACATGTGTAGAACCTAGAAACTATAAAGAGGCAATTCAAGTTCTGGAGTGGAGGAGAGCAATCAATGAAGAACTTGCAGCTCTGGATGCCAATCAAACATGGGAAATCGTGCCATTGCCACCAGATAAACATGTTGTAGGAAGCAAGTGGGTTTTTAAACTCAAACTAAAGCCTGATGGGTCTATAGAAAGGTACAAGGCCAGGCTGGTTGCTAAGGGCTTCACACAGGTGTATGGGATAGATTTTCTAGACACATATTCACCTGTGGCAAAGATAAATTCAGTGAAAGCCCTGTTAGCAATAGCAGCAGTGAAGAATTGGTCTCTTGAGCAATTGGATGTTTCCAATGCTTTCCTACATGGAGATCTAACCGAGGAAGTATACATGGAGATACCTCTGGGAGTTGAAATACCAGGATCCAGCAACACAAGGATGGCTTGCAGACTGAAGAAGTCATTGTATGGCCTGAAACAGGCCTCAAGACAGTGGTTTTCAAAGTTAACAGGTTTTCTATTGAAGAATGGATTTTCACAGTCAAAATCTGACTACTCATTGTTCACCAAGTGGGTTAATGACAGAATTGTGATAGTCCTAGTCTATGTGGATGATATTATAGTAGGAGGAGATGCACAGAAGGACATTGATCAGATTAAAAGGTCTTTGTGTGGGGAGTTCAAAGTGAAATTGCTTGGCCCACTGAAATATTTCCTTGGACTTGAAGTAACAAGAACTGCAGAAGGGTTAGCAGTATGTCAGAGGAAGTACTGCATGGAGTTGTTGAGTGATACTGGATTTTTGGAAGCTAAGGGTTGTTTGTCTCCTTCTGATCCTAAGGTGAAACTTGCAGCTGGACAAGGAAGTAGAATGGAGGATCCTGAAATGTATAGAAGGCTAGTAGGTAGATTACACTACATTACTATCACTAGGCCTGATCTAACATTCTCAGTGCAACAACTTTGTCAATTCCAGAAGGATCCACACAGTGAACACTTGCAGGCAGCTCACAGGGTACTCAGATACCTCAAGACATCACCAGGACAAGGGATTTATTTCAGTAGCCAAGCAGAGTTGAAACTAACAGGCTTCTGTGACTCTGACTGGGCAAGTTGCCCTGACACAAGAAGGTCAACCACAGGCTATTGCACTTTCATTGGAAAGTCTTTACTCACATGGAAATCTAAGAAACAAACCACAGTTTCTAGATCTTCGTCAGAAGCTGAATATAGAGCACTTGCTCTACTGGTTTGTGAGATTGAATGGCTAAGGAGATTATTGGCTGAGTTAAGTGTGAAAATACCATTACCTGTGACTATTTATTGTGACAACAGGTCTGCAATTCATATTGCTGAAAATCCGGTGTTCCATGAAAGGACAAAGCATATTGAGATAGATATGCATGTCACCAGAGAGAGAATCAATGATGGTTTGGTGCATCTGCAACATGTAAGTACAGCCAATCAATTGGCTGACATTTTCACTAAAAGTCTACACAGGGTTCGCGTCCAGGAGTTGCTTGGCAAGTTGGGTGTCTTGACTGAAGCCACAACTTGAAGGGGGGTGTCAACCAAGTAGAAAAGAACAGGTTGCAGATGCAGGAAGATGAAGTCCTGAAGTGCTCTGGATTCAATCGAAGGAGAAGAATGAGAAACGTTTCGTGTCTGAGAGTTTCGTTTATGTTGCTGCATTTTATTTAAACGCTGTCGTTCCGCTTTCGGTTAATAGCCGTTGTTAAACAGTGATTTGAGTTTGTAATTGCCAATGGCACTTTGCCATGTGGCTAACACTGGAGTGTTTCTGTTTAACAGAACACTGGACTATATATATCAAATGCAGAGGCAACCCTTCACTTTGAGGGTTTGCCAATTCTCCAAACCTAGAAATTGTTACGCGTCGAACTAATTTTCGCAGAGGACCTCTCTTACATTATCTTCACCATTACAAAAACCAAAAGACAAGTTCCTTGCAAATTGGATGTGCATCACTTCCAAGCAGGATCCTAATCCTAATCCGTCATTTGCCCTTTTCTTACTCTGAAATCGGATCAAAACTAGTGAAAGAAAGATCGTCGTCAAGGAAACATTTACAAAGAAACCAGTTTTGAACATGTTCATTTCTGTCACCAATTCCCAGTTTACGAATATGTAACAATCCATCACAAACACCTTATGAATTAAGTAACAATATGAATTATCCCCCTGCCCTTCCCTTTCTCTACACCACACACCCATCACTAACCAACGAATTTAAGCACTGATTTCTACAAAAACAAACAAACTCTGTTCTTACTCTGTTTTTTTTCTTCTTCCTCCCTTACTTTACTTTCCCTTTTGGCCTTTTCTCTACAACAACTCCTCCACCAAATTCCCCAGATCAAACCTGCCGTTACAGCACTGCACAGCGGCTACAACCTCCTGAAACGTGGCGACGGTACACGGAATGACGAGCCTGTCCAGGCACTGCTGGTCGCTGTACGCTTTCTCCATCAGCATCTTGAACAGAGGGTGGCTCAAGAACCCGGTCGGCACCGCGAACCTCTCCTTCTCTTCACCTACGTACACCGCGAAGTAACCCGTCGGCGTCGTCGCCATTTCCGACTCCAGTTCCCCCAACAGGCACTCGTACTGCGGCGGCGGCGTCGTCGACGGCGGCAGATCGTACTCGCCGCCGTAATAATTGCCGCCCCTGATGCTGCTGATCACCTTCACTTTCCTCGCCAGTTTCCTGAACGACACCATCTTCTTCCCCAACATGGTTTTTTTCTTCCTTTCCCTTTCTCTGTTTTTCGATTTTGGGTTTTTGGATGAGGGGAGAAGAAGTAAATTTTTAAAGCGGCGAGAACTGGTGGCGGGACATATGGAGGCAGAGAGAGAGAGAGAGAGAGAGAGAGGCGGAGTGGGAAGGATGTATTTTGTGGTCTAAGTTGGTGGGGAGGGGAAAGGGAATAATGAGGACGGCTTTGTAAACACAGTACGGGTTTGGACTTATAATAATAAAATCTTAATCAATTCAGTTTATTATTTTTTTAATTCTGCCGTTTTCCTTCCATTAGTTAATTGTAATTAGTCTTGGTGTGGGTTAGTGTTAATGTCGATATATTTTAGGACGGCCAACGATTGTTAATGGGAGGCCTCTGTTGTTTGTCTTGTTACGGAAAGACGGCTTTTTCGTTGGCCGATAAATTGATTTTTTCTATAACAAGAAATGTAGTTGGAGAATGGATGGAGGTGGACTTTTTAAAAATAAAAAGAAAGATTAGTTAGATGGGGCAATCATTGATTTTTCTATAACAAAATTGATGTGAGGCAACATCCTCATGCTAGGGATTGAATCCTAACAAATATCATACGTAAGAAACATTCATCATTAAGAATTGGAATTTGGATTTTGGAGACTTGTTCGGGGAGAGGTTTGATGTCACAAAAGGGAAGGTGTGAAGTTGGAACATAGAAGTATTTATGTGTGCGGATGTAAAAATTGTTGAACTTATAGAGGCCATCGATAACAAAAAAGTGTGGATTGACTTCAAAAGGATAAAGAATGGATCGATGCCTCTTTTAGTATGGTCTTGACTCTTGACATAGTTCTTATGATGAAAAATAACTTTTTTCTGTGAGAAATGTGGTTTAAGAAATGGGATAAGAATGCAACTTTCTTTTACTAAGTCGTCAATTTTAACTGACACGAGAATTTTGTTTGAATCAGCAAATTAAATGGAGTTGTTGAAGAGAAGGAGGAATTTAAGAAGGCTTTTATTTATCATTTCACCAAACTATATAGGGAGGACAATCTCAAGCGACCCTTCCCCTACTCATTATGGTCGTATCAAGGAACAATTTAAAACATTTGAATTTCCTGCGCTCAGATCAGAAGGAAGGAAGATGAAGCTGGAGTGACGTCATTTCTGGTGCAGCTAAAATGACTCGAGAACGACGGCATGGTGACAATTTACATTTAAGTACCCAATGTTATATTTAAGTACTTTTTCCTTTTCTGGATTATACGTGCTTATAAAGCAAGGTTGTCTTCTTCTACTACTTTGATCCAGCTATATATGTTGAGACAACAATGAGAACAAGTAGGTTTTCAGTCTTCACCACGATTTTTTTTTTTGTTATGGTATTAGAGCCTAGTTGCTAGAAAACGTAACCGCCACTAGCAACTATGGCTGAAGAAGCAATAGCCAACCCAGATCATGTGGTGGATTAATTTTATCTCCATGGGTTTTAACAACCCTTTCTTGTAGCAAAGAAGCTCACCAACACCAATTACAATGATTGGAGCAAAGCAATGCACAATGCACTTAGAGCTAAGAACAAACTTGGCATCATTGATGGGACACTTGCTGACCAATAGTTGACCATGCATCAACCTGGGCTTGGAACAAAAACAACATCATGGTCCTTTCATGGATCCATCAGGCAGTTGAACCTGGGATCAAAAAGACCATCATGCCCATCAAGAAGGCAATAGAAGCACGAAGAAGCCTTAGAGCTCGATATGGACAAGGCGACATAGTCAGGGTAGCATAGCTCATTGAAGCACTGACTACATTGAAACAAGGTAATCAAAATGTCATAGAATACTATGGTAACCTAATAGTCTTGAAGGATGAACTAGACAACTATCAACCCTTGTATCCATGTACCTGTAAACCAACTAGTCACACTCATGTAGGGCTATGCAACAGGTCTTTGTTTACAGAGATGCAAACTATGTGATATAGTTTTTAAGGAGCATCAATGACAACTATACTAGTGTGAGATCCCAAGTTCTTTTTGGAGATACTTTGCCACCCATTGACAGGGTCTTTCAAAGGATGCTCCAGCATGAGATACAACATTATGGTACCCAACAGGGCAAGGCACTTGTTGTTGAAACTTGAAAGTGTGGTTTTGGCATCACCAAGTTTGCAAACAAGAAAACCAGAACCTACTGCACACATTATAGATCTCAAGGCCACACAGAAGATGTGTGGTAGCACAAACATGGATGGCTTTCAGGAATGAATCCAATAGGGTCCAATCCATCGGGTAGATTAACGAAGTGCAGCTACTGCAAGAAACTTGGTCATACAGAGGAAAAGTGTTTTTCAAAGTATGACTATCCTTCAATCTCAAATGAAGCTGGAAAATGCATCAACAGAAGCAAACAATATGCGAACACTACTCATGTTGCTGATGCAAGTGACACAAAGGGAGTGTTCAAACTGACCAAGGAAGACTATAACAAGGTGATGAGATTAATGAGTACAAAACCTAAGTCTCCTGCTGGATTAGTATTTTCAGCTGCAACATTTGTTAACAACACACCAGAATGCTCATGCAAATATTCCCTCAACACTCAAACTACTATGCCATATAACCAAGCTTGGATCCTAGATACAGGAGCATCATAACTCATAGTGTGTTCCCTTAGTCACATAAACAACTATAGAAGGATACACAATGTCTATATCACTCTCCCAACTGAACAACAAGTTCAGACCTCATGCTTGAGGAGGTGTTGTTTGTACCATAGTTCAGTTTCAATCTTGTGTTAGTGAGTAAACATACCAAAAGCAAGTCTCTTTGTTTATATTCTTCTTTGATGCATGTTTGATTCAGGACATGCAGCTGAGGATGACGACTGGTTCTGCTAAGTTCGTCCATGGCCTTTACCTCATAGACAACACACCTGTAGATAATAGCCCTAAACACATTACAGCTGCCAGCACTCAACCTTTTTACCTCTGGCGTTTTAGACCAGGGCATGTTTCACATTCCGAATTCCCTCTATTAAGACAACTTTGTACATTCATAGAAACATATAGGTCTTTGCCTTGTGATGTCTATCATTTTGCTAACTAGAAAAGGTTACCTTTTCCTACTAGTTCTACTGTTACTGCAAAAGCTATCCAATTAATACTTGTGGATATTTGAGGGACAAATCATGTTCCTAGTCATGATGGCTTTAGATACTTCCTTACAGTTGTTGATGACTTCACCAAATGATTTGGATCATTCTCCTATCATCTAAATTAGAAGCTAGATCAAAGTTACAAGAATCATGTCACTACATTGAAAGACAATTTGAAACACCATTTAAAAGAATTAGGAGTGACCAAGGTAGGGAGTTCCAAATGAGTGATTTTTTTAGGGTAATGTCTATTTATTGTCCAAACTTTTTTCAGATTCTTGTTTATTAGACAAATCTATCGAAGTACAAGAATTAGACAAATGTTAACTTTCAGGTATCAATTTTGTTAGTAATATTGACTTGGCAACATGATACTGACTTGTAAGAGACGCATGGAGGTCAACATTCCAAAATATTAGTATTTTAACTAAAAAAAGAGTTACAAAATTATTAACGATAACGTAAAAATGGCTAGTATTTTGATGGAATACGAAAGATTTGGCTAATTAATAGCATTTTGATAGATTTGGATAATGTAAAAGAATATGAAAAAGATTTGGATTAAAAATAGACATTACCCATTTTTTTACAACATACAAGGATTTTTCATGAACTATCCCGTGTTGAAACCCCATAGCATAACAATGAAGTTGAAAGAAAACAACAACACATCTTAGCTGTTGCTAGGGCCTTAAAATTCCAAGCTCGCCTACTTTCTAGTTTCTGAGGGGGTTGTGTCAAGCATTTTGTTTATCTAATCAATAGAGTTCCTACCATTGTTCTTGGAAATCTAACACTCTTTGAAAAAATTCACAACGAACCACCATACCTCACAAGCCTTAAAGTTTATGGTTGTTTGTGTTTTGCTACCACACTAAGCAATCACAAAAACAAGATTGATCCTAGAGCTAGAAAGGGTGTTTTCATTGGCTTTACTTCTGGCATCAAAGGCTATAGGATTTATGATCTCACAAATCATGAAATTTTCACTTCCAAAGATGTTCAATTCCATAAACATCACTTTCCCTTTAAACCACATACTACAGACAGTCCCAACCAACACATCTACCCCAACATCCCTAATCCTGCCTTGTTTGGTGATACTAGCTCCATCTATCACCCATATCCCCCCCCCCCACTAGCCCCTCCACCTCCTTAGTAGACTATCATAACAACATCCACTTTGATTCTGACCCAGACACTACCTCCCAAAGCCCTGCCTCTTCCTCATATACTCCTAACCCTTTCCTATCTTCCTCTCCACCTCCAACACCTCCCCCACCTCTTCGAAAGTCCACAAGAATCACCAAACCTCCCATCAAACTACAAGCCTACCATTGTATAACCTCCTTCATCAAATTTCTTCCACCGGTCATTATTCCCAACAGCAGGCTTCATGTATCACTCATCCACTAAGTTTTGCCATTCATTATGATAACTTGTTATCCTCACACAACCATTTTGTCTTATTTTTTTCTCACAAATAACCAACAACTTATCAAGAAGCCACCCAATCTCCTTTTTGGAACGCTACTATAGATGTTGAACTACTTGCTCTTGAAAAAACCGCACCTGAGATGTTGTTGAAGCTCCATAAGGAGTTAAACTAGTTGGAAACAAATAGATCTACAGGCTTTAATTCCTTCCCACTAGTTCAATCGAGCGTTACATAGCTCGACTTGTAGCTAAAGGATACAACCAACATGAAGGTGTTAACTACCAGGATACCTTTCCTCCAGTGGTCAAGATGACCACCATCAGATTATTCCCTACCATTGCAACTTCTCAATGATGGCACATCCACCAACTAGACATCAACAAAGCTTTCTTACATGGGGATTTAGAAGAGAATGTC